TTATTGAACCGTGTTATTTTATTAGCATTATATTCCTCAAAGGAAGGACGTAACCGGAACGTACCATTGTTCCTAAAGAGGTGAACGTTTGGTTTTAATTGCCAATATTATATTTTAAAGATCTTACAATTTTAAAACTTCGCATTGTCAACATTTACAGCAATACACAGAGCAGACACGAGAAACGAGAAATAATTATTCGGAACGGAAAAGTAAATAAACAACCGCTAACCAGTCAGGACGAATTTCAGCCCTGACGCAGAGCTCGTTAACACTCTTTCTAGTTTAAAGCCCGCAAAAATTCAGTGAAGTAATTTGCAAAATAACGAGGGGAAAACATTTAATAAAATAAAAAGGATTTAAACGCGGAAAGAATGGGAGAAACTCGCAGAACCATTCCGGGGGTGCGCTTTCCGAGAGTTAACGATTCGACCAACTCCTCCGGAAAGTTTCTCCTGACCCGAAAGGCTTAACAAAATTTAAGAAGCGACGTACCGGAAGTGGCTCGGGTCCTTTTCGAAGGCCCATCCTGGAAGCGGTGGCGCAATCGTGTGCAAAAACGCGAGCACGCGTGGTGGCTGGTAGCAAGGGGTCGAAAGAAAAACGGATAGATGGGAGAATAGGGGGGAAAAATGGATACAAAGCGGAGGAAGGGCGGATACGATGACAGCGGTAACCAGTGCTCGGAGAGAAACGTTAACGGCGTCGCTCGTAGATAAGGGTGAAAAGAACGATTCTTCAGTTTGCCCCCCTTCTTCCCCCGTCCGCGGCGCTAAAGGGGAAATGTGGAAATGCCCGAGGTCCTTAACTTCATTATGCCGGTCGCTTTAATTTCGCCGGCACCCTCGAAGGGGAAAAAGCTTCCTGATGGTGCCGGGCGTGTCGCGCGACCGGTCGAAAAAGAGCTTGCGCGAGCCAACGCTATCGACGCGACGAGCCAACAATCTCGTTACGTGGACGCAAACTTGCGTTGAGGGACAAAAAAAAACCCATCGGATGGACCTGCGTGACGTTGAAGTTGAATCTGGCCCCGACTGACCCGTTTCCGCCCGACCGCAGAGGTGCCAATGAAATAAGACTCTAAATAGAACACAACTTCGTTAACGGTATCGGGCTAAAAAAGTTTGCAACAATGTAGCGGAGCTTGCGCGACCCGACACCCCCGATGTGCCAACGAATTCGTTATACATGCATGAGCTAGTGACCGGGAAAAAAGTCCCTCTCAGCTGCCCCGATGCTACGCGGAAGTTGCCACTGAAACTGCCTAATGCAGATTTGGATTACTGTGGAGTTGAAGCGGTAAACGAATGTTGCGGGTAAATGATTAAGACCACGTAAAATTCAGGAGAATAAAGATGAAATTTTATCGAAATTGCCCTACATTTTCTATAGAATATCGATTTAAATACGCTTGGAAATATGAGAAACAATGGTATCCCAATTAGGAAGAATTAAAGCCCAACGATTTTATGTAATTTGGACTAGCGAGCAGTTTTACCTCGGTTAGATAGCAGTAATCCTCCCGAAACGTAGGAGTCGTGACACGTGCCCATCTAAAAGTATCACTCCAGCGTTTCACCCACATCTACGGTACCGGGCTCTCCGCGAAGTAACAAAAAGTTCTCTCCCCGAAAAAATTCGACAATTCCCCCCAAGCCGCTTTTACCACGGGCAGGAAATTCATTCTAAATTGCTCGCCGTGGAGGATTCGACGATGTAAACCGGGCACTACCCCGGATTCCCCGATTCACCTAAATTGCGCGCCACCAAGGATTCGGCGATTCCATCCCTATCGCGCCCCACCAAAGATTTGACGATTCCGCTGTCTCTCCCTACCATGGACTCGGCCATTCCGCCGAAACTGCGCGGCGCCAAGGATTTAACAATTCCATCCGAATTGAGTAGTTAAAGCGAGACTTTATGCCGAAGGAAACAACGAGCGCTTTCTATCAATCGAGCGTACAAGTGGTCCATAAACGCGCGAGTTCGTATTCGCCGAGATGAACGTTCCGCGGGGAACGTTACGGAGGTCGGCGCAACCCCCTCATCTCGGGGTCACGTTCGACTGGCATTGTCTCGCGAAGGGGTGCAGAGGGGTGCAGGGCTGTCAGGAGTGCAGGGGGTGCAAGAGGCCGTAACGAGCGAGGCCGGTGCCCGGATACGAAGACACCCATGGAGTGGCTGCCTGCTTGTATATTCCGTTTACACCCTCGTATGCACCTAAACCGCGTCGCCACTAACCCCGGAAGTGCCTTCTCGCAGGGCGCGCCGTTTCACGGCGTCCGTTCTCGAGACCCGCTCCAGGGGTGCTCCTGGATATCCGTTCTCCCGAGATCGGTCCCCCGAGGTTCGGGGTGCGCACCCCCGATGCTTCAACCGGGGACGATCGATTACGCGCGTAATGGCCGGCCGCGGTGCGTTCCAATTTCCAGCCACGCTTCCCGGGGAAGGAGGGACCGAGAAGGAGAGGGCCGTAATTTCTCTGCGGTCGGACCTTATTAGCTCGCTAGATGGAGACAATGGCGTCGATACGTCAAGTGGCCCGGTGGGGGTGACGGATGCGGAAGGACGCGCCACCCCCGCGCGCTACGGGACGATCCGTTCCCGCGATATGCCCCTGTATAAATGGCACCTCGTATGGCCTGCCAGTGGTGTTCCTCCGGGTCGTAACTAGCCGGTTTGTGGGCAAATTTTCCAGAACGCGGAGTTCCAGATGTAGAGATGCTTGAATTTTGAGAATCACAGCTATAGGCTCTGGTCGCAATATGGCACATGGCTCCTAAAGAGGTAAAGGCATTGAGGTAGAGGTATACATCGAGGCTCAGGATTTCAAACACTCGAGATATTAACATTCAATTGAAAGAATGCATGAATTTAGACATTATATTGAAACCTAAGCAAAAAGACAACATATTGTTAGTGGTAACAAGGATGATATCGGTTTTTCTTGGATTCAGCGAGTTTGAATGTGATTCGTCATGCTTTTCGTCGCGTATTTGTGAGAGCAAAATCATTCAATCATTAGTGAAAAACTTGAAGTTGAAGAATGATGAAGAAACTCGAAGAATGATGAAGAAACTCGAAGATTTATTTTGAAGTTTTTTCGGTTAAATCACCACGTTGGTAATAGGAATTAATGAACTTCTAAAATGATTTATTAGAAAGGCTTAAACAATGAAAGAGCCTCCGAAATCGTGGAAAAAAAGAAACCGTTGAATGTGGTCAGTTCCCTTAATCGAGGGTATCCTTAACACCCTTAAGGTGTTAGACCCTTAATTCAGTCTGTGGATAAATTATGAACCATTTCTTTCACATAAATCCGGAAAACTTATACCGCTCTCCTCTCCGCAACAAACTTAATGTTATTCGATATAATTTTCGTTATCTAACTATTTTAATCCCAAAACAGAGTTACAAGGCTTGACCCAAAGACATACTCGAGCCCATATTTATTTCTTAGCTAGGAACAATGCATTTGGTTAAGCCCCACTCTTTTACCAAGCCCAGGGACAAATTGATCCCCGTAATGTAGGGCCCTTTCAAGATAACGAGCCACGATTACTGGACTAATTCCATCCTACGACGAGCGGAGCGGCTGAGGCTAACAAACGTTAACGCAGATGCTGCCCTGATGGCTCGTGGTATAGAGGATAATTAGTAAAATGCGTATAATGACGCATTATAAAGGCCGATTCGGGGATTTCGTGGTCGTCAAGGGGATGAAATTGGAATCCATGGTCATGAAGTGGGAGCCAGCTATACGACCAACATTTCCACCCACTCTCACTCCACATCCCAGGTACTTCGGTACATGCCGAGATCGTCGATATCGAATGACTCTAAGTGCCAACTAGCCTTTCCAATTACCGTTTAAACGGATTCGAATCGACCTGCATTCACCGTTGCAATATCCATTCCCCGAGGAAGGAGCTGCGAAAATGAGGATTACAGGAATTCAGGATCATGGTCTACGTTCGCACCTCGATTTTTGCGATACTTGCACTTTAACTTGGTATTTCCAATTAAAAGGATAATATCCTTTCTTCTGATTTGTAAGATCGTGTAGAAATGCGAAGGAGAACTCGCCAGTTGTTATAAATTACTGGGATTTACCGGTGGATCAAGAGTGACACCAATGAGGAATAGGGAACACAGTTATTTATGTTTTTTCTTTTTTCCTATAGCGAATTGCAGAAACGCAATCAGTAATCGAGTTTATTTAATAAACTCATTACAATGCGAGAATTGCGGAGCCACGAAATGCAGAAAACTAATTCGAGATAAAGGGAATCCCGTTTGAGAAGAGAAGGAGCGAGTCTCGTTGGGAAAGAAGAGCCGTAATTCAATACCGAGACGTATCTGGGCTTCTGATGGTAAAGGCGAGAGGAATAGAGAGAAAGAGAGAGAGAGATGGGAAATAGCGAATTGGATGTACGACGTGAATTTGAAGACCAGGTAGCAATTCGGAATTTCAATGAACGAAACACCGGAATTCTATTGTTGGCTAGAGTTTATTACACTTATTCGAACTATTTAAGGCATTCCAGAAACCTTCACCTCCTGACAATACACTGAACTTCTTCCAAAGTTCGGGGAATGCCCTAACGAATCTTCAAGTGAAATATACGACTGATCCAACAGTAAATTTTATTCGCAACCTTATATATACAATAACAAATCCTACGAATTTTCGTTACCGAAACAATGACAGCAAGCATCGAAATCACGTCAGAGAAAATCTTACTCTATAATAATAAAATGTTTTCAAAACTTAATAACACATTCAGCTTGCAGACAGATAGAAATTTGGTATTCAGAACGGCACATATATAAAAATGATGAAAAGCACGAAATCAACGAATAAAGAAATTAGACATGACGGAAAGACGAAAGAGGTAACATCTTGGACGTTCTTGGGGAAAGAACAGGGTCGATGGCCTGCAGGACACTCGGCATTGCACCGGAAAAGTCTGTCCTTCGGAAGGAAAGAGACGGGCTGGTCAATCGATGTCACTGGCTGCTGAGATTTCACCCTCGAGGTTTTCCACCTTGTTGGAAATGCTGGGGGTGACCGAAATTGGCAAGGAGTATGTTCTTCTTAACTTTCTGCGGGTCTTCGTCGAAGCTTTGCGGCCATGAATCGAAAACCCTCTGGTCCGTTTGTTCACCTTTTTCGACACTTTTCTGACCGTTTCCTCGGTAGGCATCAGTTTTTGCACAACGGCTATCAACGTTGATTCGCAGGTTGGCAACCCAGAATTTGGCAATTTGGCAAATCTGACAGCTATGCGATTTGCTCGCTCCAATTCGTCACCCGTTGGCAGAAAGTAGTGACCACGATATCTTCGCAAAATGCCGTAATTGACTCCTCTTTTCAATGCGGACTTAACCTATAAACGGGGACACATAATATACATACTTTATTCAAGGTTTAATAATGGATAACCCAGACGCAATTCGGCAGGGTCGCTAATTTCATTTTTAGAGTGAAGCTAACTCCGCTATAACATTCGGAATACGTTCACTTGACACGTATCACTGATAATGCCTTACATATTTATGTACTTCTAAGATTACTTAAAACATTAACATACACTGACGTGGAGTGTCATTTTGAAACAATGCTGTATACATTTAAAAATTAAGAAATTAAGAAATTAAGAAATTTTATTTCATTCTTAAGTAATCATGCATTTATCGTATATCAATTTTCAATGTTATTTAACGACCAAGAAATTTGTTAACCAGTTAGCTGTGTTTGACGCGTATACTCGTCATGAAAACGCACGTTTCAAATAGGTCGACACAGTTAACTGGTTAAGTACGAACTTGTGAGATAATCGAATATACCTGTCGTTCAATTCTGGTTTGAGACATATTAGAAGCGTAACTAATATAATCGATGATCTTTCTAGGAGTGGAGCCTTTCATTTCACGAAGATCATTAATCGCCGATACGATAAGAGCTGCAATCTTTAACGGTCTCGGTTTTCGTACTCTCCTTCTCCTTCTTTTTCTTCTGTTACCAAATTTCTTTTTCGCCATTTTGAATGCGATCTCCGAAATGCTATCTTTATAGTTGACTTACCACTAGTAATTTAAAAATTCCACATTGTACTTTTATTTAAAACATCAACCAGACTCGTCAATTTTACTGCTGTACCCTGAACTGTAGAGTAAAAGGTTTCCATTGTTTTTGTATTATCGAGTTAAAGATCGATTCTCCATGACCTGACGCGTTGAGCTTCAAGTCGACCATTGTAAACACAAAGCAATTTGTCCCGGAATGAATTCCTGTTACCGAGTAAAACGCAAAAAACAAATACGTAGTCACCCAACATTGAAACAAACTTGTCCGAATCATTTTAAACGCGTCTCATGATTTTCACCTCAAAACCCACACTTCAATTCACAATAGAAATGATTTAATTTATATTACAGCTTTATGTGACAATATTTCAATATTCCAGATAATGAATGACCTTATCAGAAAGATAATACGTAAATACTAAATAATTCACAAAATGCAATATTATTTTTAAAAAGTCACTTTTCATTATTTAAGCCATTGCGGTCGTATTTACCCAGGGTCAGGAGAACTTTGATGGCTGAGAGTAGACACACGACCGCAAAGGGTTAAATTAAATATTGTCATTGAACTCGTATGATCTCTAACCAATGTGTGCTGCAAATAAACACGCGGGGTTTGACATTTTCACCGATAATATGTCAAAAAGAACACGGCGAATACAATTTTTGTAACACGCAACTCGGCAGCAGTTTTTACCTTTTATCAGATCTCGGTTTTATCACTTGTTTATTTTTCCAATCTGTTATTTACATCATTCAACAAATGTTAAACCAGTTTCCTCGCAAAAGTGATCATTATCAAGTGGATTATTATGAACATTTATAGAGATTCGCATCTCAAAGCTCTTCCAACATCCAGTATCGGACAGATGTAGCTTAACTCTCTATCTACCGGCGAATTTGAAAGAAAATGACGATCCCGGATATCGTAAAACCGATTAATAGGCTTCCGGTAGCTTAAGTGTTAATAATTAACCCTACATCAATATCTACTCTTCGGGTATCTTCGACGTGCAGCATGCGGAACTCCTCCGATGCTGCATGTAAGCTCAAGGGTATCCATCAATGATCTTATGCTCGAGAATTGTAGTCCTGTAGGGTTGAAGCCGCGCGTGCAGCTCCGAACGATCCGCAACCGAAACCATGCGTGTTGAATTGCACCGAGGGCGTACCCAAGTGCACTCACGGGAAAGCTCCCAGAAGCCGTCCGAACTCTGCTAACTTGCTTCCGGATTTGGAAATATCCTGCAGGAGGAAACGGTATATCGTCCAATTACTTAATTAATCTAGGACGGCGCATCCGACCTGTCCAATTTGTCGCGACGTTCGTTAGGTGGTCTCAAGAACCCGGGATCAATGGAAACCCTTTGGAACCATCGAGACATCTCAAAACTCTTAAACCTACCTAGATCTTAAATACGTTAAATATATATGCGCGGATTCAATCACTCGAATTAAACAAATTTATGCAATATTTGTGAAGTACGGAGGAGCCCTCCGCACACCGTGCTAATTGCTCGATTTTCTATCAAGAATTTAAATGGATACTAGGAACGTACGCTGAATAAATTATATCGAATTTCTAGAGGTTGTGCAATAAAATTTCATGTTTAAGGTGCAATTAGTAGGAGCTGTGATAACTGCGCTGTGCAAGTACCATACGTTTCAATAAAGTGATAAAGCACGGCAAGGGCCGTTGCGATTTATAGCCGGCTTCTTAATCAAGGCGCTTCGGTTGGTCATATTTATCTGCGTGCATCGAGAAATGTTAAATCTTGAAAATTGAAAAAGGTGCTAACGGTAATATTTATATGGGAGAATCATGAATATGTAGAAATCGTTAAACGATATTCGAACATTCAAAATGGGCCTAACTCCCTGCGTTATGACAACATAGCATGGCCTTAATCTACATATGAAAATATACCCAACTTGCATGAAACGATATTTTATTAAAAAAATTTTCCTTTATCTATTAGAGTAATACCGTAATTCATTCATACAATAAGGTTACTCTAAATTATATTACTCTAAATATGACTATATTTATAAATTAGTCATAAAATTAATTTTCTCTTTAGAATGCGGTCACATAGGACTGTTCAATTATTACCCTATCGCCCATGCATCGGTATCATGACTCGACTCCGGCAATCACTAGGTTATCATCATCTACGTAATCCAAGTGAGCACCCCTGAGCAAATGAATCACAGCCGGGTTAACCATTACTCCAGGATGGTATCGGATTCCCACCAATTTTTTCACCCCCATAAACGTCGAGATTATTATCCAAACAACAGGCCCACGACGCAAGCGGTGCGTCAGTGCATTACTTACGGCGTTTTACGGGGATTTATTAGGAGTACGCGAGACTATACGAGCGGCTATTTCCTGTTATATCGGAAGTCCAGAAATCCGGGAACCAAGCTGAACCAGGCTGAACCAGTGGTTTATTGTTTAATATTCTGAGTGGCCGAAACGATGAAACGTAACTGGCCGCATAAATTTAATTGTACAGCGTTAAGCGCATGAGTAAGTACGCCTGTACAACACGGATCATCGTCGACTGCGTTGGTTCAATTGCGCGCGCTTCTATGGATCAGGATAGCTGGGAGACGTTGACTTATGCCCATGCAAATCTGAACCATTGCATCTACGCGACTAAACCAGTTAGAGGGCAATTACTCACCGATGTAAATTGATTGCTTCATGGAGGAAACACCAGAAGCAGAACAACCGAAAAAAAAAACCTACACGATCTTCGATCTAAATCTCATTAATTGAGCGCGGTACCTTTAGATTTATTAAAGGTATATTATATAACTTGAAGAAAAACAACGTTAACTTCCATGGTATGAGACAACAATTAATGGTATGACGCACAGCTCTTTTAAGACACCGTAGAGGTAGCATGCAATTTTAAAAGTCTATAAGGTAGGACTAAAATCACCTCGAAAAACACCTCCAGGGAATAAAGAACTTCTACAAAATACATTTGAAACATATTTCACAAAAATGTATACGTAATGATAATTTCGTATTCTATATATACATTGCGGAAACTGTGCCAAGTTTTTTAATCTGTTAGCGATTAATACTTCTTCCGCAGTTAAAATAACTTTATGACTGAAGGTAAAAAAAAGTAACGCGTATTTTGGAGTGTTTTCCACCTTCGGCATTCTGGGCATTTCGAAATCGCCCGAGACTCGAGAAACTGGAACCCTATTTTTCAAGTCTTTACGACGCTGAAATTTTCAGGGGAACCCTGAGTGAAACGATTCGTTAATCCAAGCACGTATCGCAACGCCTGGATGTCCTAAGTAGTGGATGTCCACGTTTTCACGGAAATTCTTTGGAAGAAAAGTTTCGTACCTGGACAGAGCTCGAGGCGAACACGAGCCGGTAACGGTCTACGGATTTTGGCCAGAAACTTCAGGCGCTAATCTCTATTTCGGCATCGATTGTGAATTCCACGAGCGTTTAACCTAAAAACGTCGGCCTCGAAGAATAAAATTGCGAAAGGAATTCGAATAGGGAGAAATACCTCTAGTTACTCAAATTTCATAAATAAATCAAACCACGACTTAGAAGATTCAATACGAATGTACATTATGAAATTTTCTCATCCCTGAAATGTATCACCTATATTCGTATTTCCAAAATGAAAATTGTATTTTTTTAGGAGCGTTTACTCGAAACACACACATAAAAATAACTCTATAGAAGAGACTAATCGAAGAGCTGATTGATTTAGACATGGAAATGTCAGGTGGAAGGTACTTTTCGTGCACGTATAAAAAGAAATAGAAAGAGGCCCACAGCAAAAAGAATAATATGGAGAACCAACGTATCGAAGACCTACTTCTGTTCAACAGATATTAAACGGATTCGATCCTTTTCATAAACGAAAGAAGATATGAGATGTTCATAAACCATAAGGTCCATTAGTTCCTCATGTTCCCGCCCCGAAGGACAATGAATGACGTCGTTGATCGGAGATCTCATCAAGTGAATGATTCGTATAGGGAGAAGAAAAGAAAAAGAGAAACGATCGAAATAAAGAACAAAAGAAGACGGAGATTGAGTTTGTCACGCTATATATCATACAGTGAAACTGCTGACCCTTCTTTATCGTACAGTAGATAAATGTCAAGTCTTTCGTCTCTTTTTTATTCTATTTTCATTGTCTACCTCTCGCAAAAGGAGAACTAGAATGTGAAGCTTGGATCTAACTTAAGGTCAATTAATATTTTTCTTCACACAAACAAGCACTGGATGTTGCAGTTTATTACCGACCCATCGCTTCGAGCGAGCAGCCCTCTCTCTTCCTAGGAGAGATAAAGAGACGCGAAAAGAACTAATGGCCTTGGAAGAGAGCGAGAAAGGACGTGGGCACCGAAGGCTAACCCTTGCCAATGTATCGGAGAACAAATGCCGTTCCAATGGCTTTCAAGATTTTATTCGACAGCCCTCTGCTTGCGGGAAAATCTAGACGGAGAAAGGCAGCGCGAAAGAGAAAAGGAAGCCCCCAGAACGAATGGAAGCGTCCAATTAGGTTCTAGCCGAATCGCCCTGCACCAACAAAACTTCCTGAGAACCTCTCGCGGGTCTTTTTGTACGATTTCTTGGAGAAATGCTCGGATAGAGACGATAGAGGGTAAAAAGGAACTTAGAAAGCAGCTAGAAACAGGGCAATGCAGGGATGTTTTCGGCAAGTATGGTTTGTACCATGAAAATCGAATGTAGAAATTTCAAAACTTTCTCGGGAAAAGTTGAACATGGGGGGGGAAATCCAGAATGAAGTTTCTAAAGAAGAAATACACGCGTGAATCGAGAGGAATGGAGCGAAAAGGAGTTAGCGAGTTTTCTGAAAATCTAGTTTCCAATGTATAAATCAAATATACATGCTCCCAAAATTGATAACATTTTAATTAAACGTTTCGATATTACTTACATGATATTTAAAAAAATCGGAATTACTAGAATTTCTCATTAAACCGTGGTAAACCAAATTCGGACCTGAAATTCGATTATTATCAGGAGAAAATGATAAGTATTTCAAAT